AGGCTCCTCTGTCACTGCCCTGTGCCTTTCAGGTCCTCGACTGCCTGGATTTGACTAAATACAGTGACTATGTCCTTGAGATCGTGTCAAGGCACCTGCAGAGCGAGTGCAGGCAGAGGCGTCGCCTGGCGCTCAGAGGCCTCGTGGTTATCAGCAAGGATCCCTCGATGGTGAGAACGGGGCAGCGGCTGAAGCTGTGCTGGGCAAAGCAGCCCCTTGGGCTGGCTGGGCTTCAGGAGCTGAGGCAGCTGCTCCCAGCTCTCCTGCCTCACCTGCCTGAGTGCTTTGGGACAGGCCTTTGGCCTCTGGGCCCGGCAGCAGCAGGGTGGGGTTGCAGTGCCAGGGCGGTCTTGGCGCTGCAGCCGTTCAGGGCTTCCCAGCACAGCCTTGTGTTCCAAACAGGCCATAAGGTTGTGCAGCCTGTCTCAACGCCTTCAGGACCTGCTGGGTGATGCAGATGGAGATGTGGTCAGCATGACCCTCCAGGTGTTCATGAATATGCTCCAGAAAAAAGAAATTCTGGTATCTAGCACCACTGGCCCAAAGATGGCTGAGGCACTCCTGGCACTTTTTGACAACGTAAGGTTCTGCATCCCAAACCATGGGCATTGGGTGCTTCCCAGAAATTTTGTGCTGTCTGCATTTTCAGGCCATTGCCTAGGTGAGCCTGGAGCTGTTGGTGCTCAGGTCTTTTCCTTTCCTCCAGGACAACAGCCATGTACGGCTGCTCTCAATTAACCTCTTCTGCAAGGTGATAGAGTTGGTAGTGGATGAGGGAAAAAAGCCCCTGAAGACAATTGTGAACAAGAGCTTGTACTCACTTTTAATCTACTCTCATGATGAGAACCGGCACGTGGCAAAGGTGAGGTTTTGTGTGATGCCGGTGCATCTCTGGGAGAGGGTTCAGCTGCCTCCTGCCCTGGCACCTCCCAGGCTGCAGCCTCCTCATGGCCTTGGCACAGGGACCGGAGTCCTGTGCCCCATGCTGTGGCACTGTCTCCCCTCTCTGCTTCTCTCCAGGCCTCTTGGGAGGCACTGCTTTGTGTGGCCAAGTTCCTGCAGTGGAAGAATCTGGAGCAGCTGCTGAAGAAGGAGCAGCCTTTGAAATTCAAGGAGTGCCTGGTAAGGATATCCTGGAATCTCCAGCCTCAGCCTGGAGAAGCTCCCTGCCCCCAGTGCTCAGTGTGTGGGGCTGGCAGCTGTGGCCCAGTGCTGCACCCATGGGAGACAGCCTGTGCCCCACACACCGCTACCTTCCCTGGGCTGCACGGCTTCTTCTCCAGGCTCCTGTGGCCCCGAGCCGGGTGCCGATGGAGCCCCGAGTCACTGGGGCTGCGGGGTGGGCCGGCACCGCGGCTCCCCGG